ACCCTATTAGAACTATTTACAAGTAAGGTCCCTGGCTGGCTTAAGCCCTGGTATGGTTCAAATTCTGCTAACAATCAACTGATCATTGGCAGGATTGGGACTGCACTGGGGCTCAAATCCCTGTGCAGTCCCTGTCAACTGATGATCGGTTGATTGTCAACAGGATCAGGACTGTTCCAGGCAGCCTGGATTGTCAGTTGGCTCTGGAGACCAGCTAGTGCTGGTTCAAGTCCCAATATGGTCCTGATCCAGCTGCTGATCAGTGTGAACCAACCTTGGAGGACTTTGGAGCCAGCTGCTGATCAGCTGATTGTCGGCACCTGGCTTTCAACTTGCTAGTGCAGTGGGAGCCCAGGGTCATGATCCCTAGTCCCCCTTCAGTGGCAAGTAGGGTGCAATTGGAAGGATCTGATTGCAAAATTGAGCATTCTACCATGCACACACAGTGTCGCAGGAGGCACGACTGTTGGGATTGGGAATCTGATAACATCTCACCTTTAAATGGATGCCTGTAGGTGACCTAATTTGGGGGGATGTATGGGTCCTGGAGTGCATTAATAGTTTGCTTTCCTGCTAGCAACTGACAGGCAGCCACTAAAGCAGGGGTGGCAAAATATGGCCCGGGGGCCAGATGTGGCCTGCCAGGCCATTCTGTCTGGCCCACGGGGCCCCTAAAAAATTTAGAAAATTAATTTTAATCTGCCCTGGGCTGCCTGTCATGCAGCCCTTGATGGCTTGCCGAAACTCAGTAAACGGCCCTCTGCCCAAAATAATTGCCCGCCCCTGCACTAAAGTGACTGAATGATACAGACCCATAGGGTGAGGTTAGATTGAGTTAAAAATGGCTACCTGATCTAAGGTAAGTCAAGATAGGGGAACTAGTGAGAGGGGTTGGCAGGATTGAGGGGTGGGGGGCAAGCAGACCCTGGAAAGATTGGGTGGATCAGCGGCATGGGGGAGATCAGAGGGATCAGGGGGTTAGGCAGCATCCACAGGGGGAACAGGGATATCAGGAGGGCTAGTTGGGTCTATGAAAGGGATCAGGGAATTGGGGGGCAAGTGGAGTTAGTGGGAGGGATCGGGAGGGTAGGCAGGGCCCTCAGAGGGGTTGCTGGGGTCCAGTGGGGTTTGGCAGGATCAGAAGGGCTCACGTGGTTTGTGGGGAGGCTTGGTGAGGATGGGATGGCTCTTTTCCCCACCTCCCAGGACCAGAGGCTATTTTTAGTCTGCCAACTCCCCCTTCTCCTTTCCCCCCCCC